TTTCTTTTGTCGGGAAGACGTTGGCTGTTGAAATCCCTATTGTTATCGTGCTCAGGTTCTCTATCATCCAGATCACGATTCCTCCTTTCACGATTATCCTTATCACGCTTCCTCTGATCCTTGTGTGACTTTATTGCCCCTCTATCTTCATCCAAGTCAGGGCGCTCAACACTATGATCATGCTCGAGATGGGAAGAGCCAACTCTATCCTTAGTTTCCTTACGCAAGCGCTGCTATGATTAACAGATTATAACAATCAAATAGGACAATGGCATTCATGTCCAATCATAGAGACAAAATTGAAATTACTTACCTTATCCAGATGCATCTGTCGTGAAGGCACAGCAGAGCTTCTTTCATCAAATCGTGGTAAACTACTTCGAATGTGCTGAGAATGGTGAACAGTTGCTGACGATGAATTATCAGGTAAGAATCTAGTAAACTCTTCTAAAAGATCTGGGTGGTCTTCAAAAAGTTGTGAAACCTGCAACATAATTATAGAGACAGAAACAAATAAAATTAACAGCAATATAACAGAAAATAGCCAATTAGCCATGATATAATACTGAAAAAAGGCCAACAACTTACCTCATCATAAACTTCACTGATGTTTTTATGCTCCTTACGATACATATTCAATATATCAAGGAAAGATTTATACACTTGCTCATCATTATGGAATCGCTTCTGCATGAGGAAGGATGGACAGAGAGACTGTCAATAGGAAGCTAAAATGTCAAGCTTTAATGGACGGAAAAGGTATAAATGCCTACCTTTATCTTGTTGACAAAATTTATAGCCTCATCAAACTCCACAGCTTTTTTTGGTGGAGGCTCATCATCATCCAAGGTAATCTCATAACCCTTAGGAAGAAAAGTATTAAATCCATAAATCAGGTTATTGTGCCCCTTGAATAGTTCCTTTACCCGAGCTATGACACCCTCGGTGTCAATTCTGCACATAATAAGAAAACCAATTACATTTTACAACTTTGCAAATGGAACAAACAGCCATCTATGTATTTTCACTACGGTCACATACGAAATTACAAAGCTTAAACCTAGAATAAGATAAAAATCTTACCTTTGTGCCTTAAAATCTTTCATGACCTCAAGGAAGTGGTCATATTTATCCCTTTGATCCTGAAACATCTCTTTCACTTCTTTAAGATATTGAAGGGCGTCATCAGTTGTCAACTTCTGTCCAATGCCCCCACTTCCACCATTGTTCTGAGGTTGCCCATATCTTCACAGAAACACAAAAAAAAAAAAAATTGTCAACCAAATTCATGCAAAGCAATCTCAGCCGAATTCAACAACCCTAATCATCTCATCTCACTTCACTCAAAACCAGGAAGAAAGATCAAGGCATGAGAGGAAAAAAATCATGAAACTCCAAGCATGTTTCACAGCCCTAAATACAAGTCTTGAAATCCCAATTAACATAAATGTGCATCCCTCAATGCTCTCAAGAGTAAGCTTTACAAAACTGTAATCATAACCATAAATTTCACCAAAACGAACTTTAGGGTTCTGCTAACCAAACTACCATAATCTCCAAAATTAGGTTTCAAACTTAACAATTCCCAATTACCAATAGAAAATTTAGCACAACCCTTGTTTCAAATTAACAATTTATACAACATGAATTTCCCACAATAACATGATCAACAATACAATTAAACAAAATTCTATTACAATAACTTTCCTAATTTAGAAACAGAACAAATTATGGAAAACTCACGATTCTCCTCGAGAAGCACCAAAAGGTCGTTTAAATTGAGAGCCAGCAAAGCTCTCATCTCGTAATCTCTTCATTTCTGTAAATAAACCAAAAATCATCAAAAATTCGCAAAATATACAAACTCCATAACCATAATTTGCTCAATTATTCAAGAAACAATTCTTAACCTTTATGTTTCTCCAATGATTCAGCAAACAAAAAACAATAGCAAAATTGGGTATTAGATCTAACCCTAAAAGGGTGTCAAAGAACACTTCACAAACAATAAGATCACCAACAGAGCAAAACCCCAATTGGGTAAAAATCACTTAGTTTAAATTTACAACACAACCCCTTTTGATTTTTCAGAGTAATTAGTGAAAAATTGCAGTTGTTTTTCTAAGTATTTGCTCGAATAAACCAAGTTGAAATTGGAGTTTAGAAAATTTTGTTCGAAGCAAAAAACAGGTGAATGTAATATGAAGAAGAAAATTGGTACGAAGTTGAGAGAAGTAGAGAGAGAAAATGAAGGAAGAAAGGGTGAAGACGAGCGAAGAGTTCTTTTTATTTTGCTTAACAAAAATTTCTTACGTGATGTATTATGAGTTTATAATAAATAAAAATATAATGTCAAATATTTAAAGGGGTTTAATACTAGTAGTATTCCAATTTTGATTTGAATTAACAAAATATAATTATGATTAGGTGCATTTTTCCTTGGTAGCAGCTTGTTTTCAAAAAAAAAAAAAAAAAAAAAAGGTGCATTTTTCCTATGTTACTTAGGAAAAATTATATTCTTTTTTTTTTTTTTTGAGAAAGCAGGAAAAATTATATTCTAGCTAATATTTTGCAATATATTATTATATACCTAATACATATAGTATATACAGCTAATACGAGTATATCGGATCCATAAAGATATTTTATATCGTGTTCTATAGTTTAAAGATGTATATCAATTACTGTAGGTAGTAATTATCATCATTTGTGACTATCGAGAAAATAAAATCATTATTATAGTCCGTGATAGAGTAAATATAAAGTCAATTGTTCTAAGACTTCTAACCTTATAATATTATATAAAGCTTAATAAATTTCAGAGACACTCGATTATCAAAGTATTTTACCCTTAGCTCATGGGCTAAATCGGCCTAAAAAAGCCTTGCAAACATAGTTGGTATATTTGGCCTAAAATGGTTTGACCATATATTTACATCTATTGACAAATTTGCATGTATTTTATGAATCTATGCAAAGAATAAAAACATTATTAGTATAAGACTCAAGCTACATGTATGGTCCATCTAAAATTCAAATAAGATTAGTTTTGATAAAGACTATCAAGTACAAATTACAACTAAATAAGTTTTAATAAGTTCAGATAAGTTCAAATTTAATTCTGTTAACTTCACATAATTAATTGAAAATTAGGTAAAGAGAACATATCCTTAATCCAGATCTAGTTTTTTATTATAACTATTGAAGATACATACGGAATTTTTGGTCTGTTCACATTTATTGAACTGGGCTTAACTTGAACAGGACTGAACTAAATAGAGCTTAAATGAATATTTTATGAGAGAAGAAAATTAGGAATTGAACTGAACTTAACTAGAATTAAGCTATGAAATGAACATGCCCTTTGTCTAGTCTAGGTCTTAAACCAACTTTAACAGTTTGGGCATATTTCAATCCTACACTAGTCCAATCTTCAAGCCCTGAATTTTCAAACTTTCAATTTTTGACCTAGTTTAGTTTATTTTGTCTTGATTCCAAATTGGTGAATACTTTTACGCATGTCTTTTTATTAATTCACCTTTTATTTTTATGTTTAAGGATAAAGAATAACACTGATTTTATATCATTAATGACTTTATAAGTGAACACTAAATAATTATTGACTATCTAATAGAAATATGCCTATATATTACTCCGTAGTTCTAAAAAGCACTAACTTTTATGAAGATCACATTGACACTATTGACACCACTTCAATACTAAACCAAAGTTCATTAACTAGGTATGATCAAGTGCTACATGGATCAGCCCATAGCTTTGTTAGAAAAGACGTATACTCAACTATTGCCTATCTTTTAAGTTTTAAACGCCATGTTGAACTTTTATAATCATACTTTCAGTGATTTTGGCAATTGTCAAAGGGGAAAAAATTAAAGGGTCGATCAGTCAAATGCTCCAAAGGACACCCAAGTGAAATTTCTATACAATAAATTTCATTAGCCTAAAAATAAGGTAAATAAAAAGATCAATTTTTACCGTTTCAATGGCGAAAGAATTAAAACAATGCAAGAAACACGGTTGGTGACATTTTATAAGATAAATTTTCATTAACTATATGCTATTAATTTGCCAAATTAGACCAACTTACAATCTTGCACTTTAAAGGGTTTTTATTTTATTTTATTTTATTTTATTTTTATAACAATGATTCAATGAAACCTTGGCCGTTGTCAAGAAACAAAAAAAATACAATGAAACCTTGAAAAGGCACTGAAACTCTGAAAGTTTACAATTTAGACACCAACTTTCACTACTCAAACTGTCAAACATTCCATTTTCCATTGTGTAATAAAGTTAGGCTGTAGAAAGATAGGACTGATGCCAAGAGTATCTTTACAGCCCTACACCATGATTAGATTACCATCAATTTTCAAGTATTAACCAAAGAGGAGCTTTTAGATGATTCATGAGATGAACTAAGAGGATCCAATCCTTCATGTTTAAGGGAAAAATAATCCTCTTCCCCTCCTTCCTCTATCTTCTGCCCTTTTCCATCACAGTCAAGCTGCCGAGATCTATGGGGCAGTGTTTGACAGTGGTGGTGATTGGTGAACATAGCTCTTGTTCATGGAGGATTGGTGATGGCCTTACTGGTGGTAAGTACGTGGCAGTTTGTACTCTCCAGTCATACAAATATAGGTGGCACGAGTACTGGGGGATGGGGATTGATGTGGTGGTAGAGTCAGTGTGATGGATTAGGGAAGACCAAGGGTGTGCAGCGAGGTTACCATTTTGGCCATGGGACCTGCAAGGATAAAACTTGTAACATGTCTTGCTTGGGCGGCAGATTGAAGGGGGCAAATGACCAAAGCAAGCAACATATAGAAAGTTAGAGAGCTGCACTTAGAGCAAGACAGCATTACAGCACTTAATAAAGATTCCAAAGACACCTTGAATTTGTCCTCCATCAAGTATGACTAATTTCACAACTAATGAACACAAATGTATCCCAATCCAAGAACAAAGTAACAATAATACTAGAAGTAAATCCAACACATACCTTGTTGAGGAATGAATACAACCGGATTCACCTTCCACAGCAAGAGCTTGGGAGGTCAGTAATTACAATGGTATGGATAATTATATATGCAAGGCAAAAAGTCATAACTATTACAAACGCATGAGATAAGAGTCCTCACATTTCCATGACTAAGAACAAACACCAAAAATCTGATATCCCCTCGGGCTCAGTGTAGCGCCTCTTGTTGTGTAATTTGTCTGTACTCTATGCTAAATTGCTAATTCACAAGAAAAATTAGACAGCAGGAAATATGTACAAATCATGTCATACCATGTTATTTGATAATTGGTCGGTATTAAACACAAAGTATAATTTTCTGTGGCATTGAATTTACAATAAGACTAAACATGTGCAAATTCTAAGATCAGAGCTTATACATCTACATTACCAAGCAACAAGACCTGCAGGATGTCAAAAAACACCAACTTTTCTTACAGAAGAAGAGGGTTCCTTGCGCTATTGACTCTGATTTTTAGCAGAACCTATAGTATGATTAGTATCCATGTTTTCAAGCTGGTGATCTGAAGTACCAACCATCCCATTTTCAGTACCGTGACAATCTAAGATCACTGGTTGACAGCTTTCTTGCCATGAAAAAACAGCCTTGTTACCTCCTTGGCCATCAACCATACTAATAGACTGGTTCTCTTGTTGAAGAAAGCACGGAACTTGAGTCTGACACTGCAGTCTGTTTGCTTTACTACTAGTAGGCTGAAATACATAATCACCTTCTTTGAAACTAATAATATCAGTGTTACTACTGCAATGATTCTGAAACAAAAAAGTCTCAGTATCAATCTTCCCGCGAAGATCAACCAGCAGAGCCCTCAGTCTCAGTACCTCAGCCTCAAGAGCAGCCTGCCCTTGAAGCTTCCTAACCAAATGCTGATTCAAAACACGAAGTTTCCTGACTTCTTCTTCCAAATAGGCTGTATGCGCCTTCTTTTTCTCTCTGTACTTCCTAACCGCCTCTCGATTACCTAAAGGCCTTCTAGCCTTTAAAGACGAGGTCTCACACCGAGTTTTGGTATCATCCTCCGATGAAAACACCTGGGTGTGAGTGTGATAGCATGTGTGAGTATGCTCTGCATCAGGGCCAGGTGGGTTACAAGTATGAGTGTGAGTACAAGTTCTTGTATGCTTCAACAATTCATCAAATAATGAATCAACTGATGCTGATCCTCCTGGAAGACTAATATCATTATTTTTACATGTACTTGAATTCTGTAACAAGGAAGAATCAGAAGGCTCTACTTCACCATCATCCATGTTCTGTTTTTTGGTAGGGGAATTTTATCAAACAGGTGGTGTGCGTCACTGAAATGGGCACAAAATTACACACTAAAGCATCAATCTTTTTGTGGGGTTTAGATTGGATTAACCCAAATCTTCTCCTAAGTGAACCCCTAGTTGACCAAAATTACAACAGTGAAAGAAATGGCCAAAATTGACATTACAACCAAAGAATATATGCTAAAGAAGGAAAGCAAAAAATCCTTAATAAGATCATAATCTATATAAAATGTTGATTGATTGCACAAAGCATAGATTCCCAGAAATACCCACTAAAATTAGAAAGGACCCCATAATTAAGAAGATGTTATGAGGCCCTTTAATCTTAATCAACAAAAATTAGGGGTTTTAGGGTGAAAATTGAATAAATTTGCCAACTTTTTTGAGATTTGAAAGCACCCAGATGAAGATACTTCACTATCATTAAAGAATTTTAAGCAAAAAAACAAGATTTTGATGATTTGAGAATCCAACAAGTGTTAGGGAATCGTTTGTAGTTGTAGCAAATAAAAGCTGAAATGAGAAGCAACCAGAAATGTTTACCTTTTTGATGGAGGAAGAGACAATTTTCAAGGGGAAAAAATATTAAAAGGCACTACTAATGCGAGTTGATAAAAAATGACAAATCATTATTAAACAAGTAATAAAATACTTCCTCCGTTTTCATCTAAATGCCGTGTGATAATATTGAATATAGAGTAATAGGTTACCGATATGCAGTGTCTATGCATCCGAGAGTGTACAATGGTCGTTATCTACTAGCAAGAGTGACAACATTTTCTTTTAAAAAAGGTATGAAGTCATTTTTCTACAAAATGATTAATTAAAATATAGTTACAAACTTACAATCTCTGGTTATTAAATTGCCAAATTCTTCTAAAGGCAAGAAGCAGGTGGAATTATATAAGAGCTTTGTCAAGTTGTCAATCAAACTTGTGCAAGTTTTGTACTCTTTCTTGTTGAATCTTTTCGTAGAGTAGCATTTTCAAAGTCAAATTGTAAACTTTAAAAAACTACACTATTTATTCATAACAAAAGAACATGGAAGATCATTTTTTTTTGTGTAAAACTATTTTATTTATGTAATCTAGTACAAACATATTGCTGAATTAAAATTACCATACAAAAAAATAGAAATTGAAAGATGATTTTATTTTGGATTAAATTCAAAATTAGCCGTCACATTAAGTACAATTTATTTAATTAACTAACACTAAAATTAAATCCACCGAAAGTACTTGCACCTGGAGTGTCTCCCTTCACAGAAAGCTAATATGCTTGATTACATATTCTCGGTAATACATTTGCTCCTGGAAACAACTAAACAGTCACTGTTAATTTATTTAAAGCACATAATATAATTCTGAAACCAATATTTACACAGATGCAAACACCACCACCATTCCATAGCAAAGAGCTCATCTTGCTTCATCTTCTTATTCACGCTGCTGGGCTTCCAATTAACTTAAATGCAGGCTTCAAATCTGTTTTAGATCGAGCTTTGGCCATAACAAAATCGTCTATAATTTTCAGACCTAAGTGCTTCATCAAGACCACCTGTAGTATCTCCTCAGGATTCAGGTTGATGTGTGTTCTCATGTGCAGTTTATCATGCGAATTAGTACGTGCCATGTATATATCAGCTTCCACACGGAATTCCCTTGAGCACAATGCCTTCTCAAGTTTAGCTACTTTATTCTCTAGCTCTTTCAGTCTTTCCTTCTGAGAGGCAGCATTTTGGTCTTGCAATGAGGCCGAGACAATATCAATGATTGGACCACCCCCTACAAACAATGCCGAGTTCTGATGATCATTATATTGCAAGAAATTTTACTGCATATTTCAAAATGATACACTAAACCAATTGCACAAGGGAAAACAGGATACTGAAAACATTTCATACTCTGCCTACTTCATCTGTTAATATAGTTCTGTTCTTGTTCTGGGTAGTCTGAATATTAAAAGCATTAGGAAGATCTTTTGTTTGTCTAAAAATGTCAATAAATGAGCCAATTGATTGAATGTAGTGTGTAACCGTTTATGGTCAGTGGTAAGCTGCTGACTTTGGAACACAAAAATGTTGGGGTTTTCGAATCAGTCAATCAGATTAAACTTACTTTAAAAGCCTGATAGTTGTAACCAAGTAAGTACTACCTACAAAAACTGACTGAACACAAGGTTCAGAATTGTATTAAAGAGATAAATCAGCACAACTAACAAGAAACAACAATTTGGTGAAGAGGATAATTGAAGCAAGGATAAGCTTGACTAGCCAGGCAATAAGCTAAATTCAAATCAAAACTTGGTGTAACAGAAAATAAACATTCATTATAATCAACATAATGTAGAAGTTGCTGAGACTTTTTTCATATACAACATAGATATGAGATTTTGAGACAAGAGCAAACACAATTACAACCATCCTCCACTCGATGACAAAACTCTAAATGACAAGGGCTGGAAAAGTACATGGTATAATAATATAATTCCATATTTGGAAAGCCGAATTAGGTCCTTAAATTAAGAAAAAAGATGGCATCATACTGAATTAGGGAGGTTGAGATTATCAATTCAAGAGGACTCCATTGTATCTTCAAAATTTACAATGAGCTAATTTGATTACAAAAATGTAAGGTGCACAACCAAGTAAAACCTCGCTATAATCCAAATTCAACCATGAACAATGAACATCACTAGTTCCTTAATGGCTCAATCTTGAAACTATTTCCTCAGTGGCATATATTTTTATGAAACACTTTCCAAAAATAGTGTTAAAACTAGAATATATCATGATATACAGAGTATACAACAAAATCAATTAAACAAGAACCAAATCTTTGAGCATCAGGTACACCTAAACAGTAGATAAGTTGCACGGTCAAAACAACAAGCAAATAATTCTAAAGCTCTCGCCAAGTTTAACATCAACTAAGCCCCCTACTGTAACTCTTTATTATCTACGAGGAAAATAGCCAACCTTCAATGAATGTTTTATGCGAGTATTCAGTCCAACCCACAAGTGAGTAGTGACCAAATGTTTAATGTTTAGTTTGTGAACCCAAATCTTACCATAAAAGCCTTTCAAAAAAAATTTAAAAATCATTTCATTCCATAAATATAAAGAGTATAGTTTTTGTGAAAACATATTTTCATACAAGAATAGGGATCAGATGGTATAAAATTGGGGTGCCCATATTGTCGTAAATACGGCTTGGGGCGGACACCCAATTCGCAATAATATAATGCGAAAAATGACCACTCATCATTTCCCATTAACTGCCTGAAGGATCATACTTTATTAGTCAAACAACCTTCTGGTTATAAACACTTCACCCCCTAATACCTTCTTTCTTTAGTCAATGTGGGACTTTCCCAACATTTTGTTTTTGCTTCACTTGTACTTATCTCTAATCTGTATCACTTACTGATCTACTGTATCATCTTCACTCCTTTTACTCCACATTAAGTCATCGACAGGTCCTACATAAGTATCATTAAGTATAAATCCTCGCCACGAATCATACTACATTGCAACATTGAACAAATTATAGTTGTTATCATACAACAAATTCCGATTTATGTCTATAAGATATGACTAGGTTTTACGCTGGCCACCACAGACCTACCGCAACTCTCCTTCTTTATCCGGGCGTGACACTCACCGGCAGTATTGGCACTCACAAGCGGAGTTTGTTTTAATCATACAACATTCATACGTAATTGCACAAAATAACTTAGCAATAAAAAAAGATTAGAAATACAATTAAATAAGCACGATCACAAAAACCTAATCAAAATTAAAATATCACAAAAATAAATAAATTAATTGATGAGTGACATACCATAACTACGAGCAACGAAAAGAGCACTGTTTTGAACGAGAAATTTAAGGTTACGGCTTAAGAGTTGACGAATTTGATCATCGGAAAAGTAATCGTGAATTACACGCGCTTGTGTTCTAACGGCGCCGTCAACCTGCCGGCTAACGTCGTAACCTTTTTGAACTACTCCTGTGACCGTCGCCGTCACCGGCGTTAAGATATCACGAATACGATTATCGGAGTAGAATTCCGTCACCTGAGTTACACGTGCTTTATTGATTTTCAATGTGCTGGTGGCTTTGGTGATCAAGTTCTTCCACACTGCCATTGATTCTCTACCCTCCCGTCCAATGTCTTGTTCATCAAGTATCTACTAACTAACTAACCCTTCTGATTAGTGAGTAGTTGTAATTGGCGTGTGAGAGGTTTCGGCTAATATATTTTTTTTTTTTTTCTTTACCAACAACAAAAATAAATCTATTCATAAACGTAGATAAAAATATAATCTTGTGCGTTCATTTAGGTTCGTCTCGTTGTATGATTTTGCAATATAATTTTTTATACGGAATAATTTTTTTAGATTTGAAAATGTACATTGAAATGGTCAATAATAGCATTACAGAGGAATTATTATGTACTCGTATAAATTTAAACATTTAAAACATGTACTGCATCGCATACAAATAGATCAAGCGAAGTATCTGTGTATAGAATGGAGATTAATGTTGAACTTGTCCTCCTTTATTCGTCGGCTTTGAAATCTGTTCATCTCCTTCTTGTTGTTGTTATTGTTCGTCGTTGATTACAATTCAATTGAATATTTGCTTGAATAATACTGGAACTTGTATAAGTACTTCGTACTGATAAACACCTATCGTTTCTGTTTTGCTTGAATTACACTGTTTTGACGCATTGCTATGTAGAGTATATCTGGAAAACAAAAACACATTACAGGCCAGCAATTGACAAAAGGCTTAAGCTAAACCAGTATACCTCCATCTGCTGAAGAAATAATTACAAATATTCATGACGAAACAGCCACCTACTTTCAAAAAATCACCATGATTGTATTACTAAGAAGACATATATATATATCCACAAAAATCAGATCGCATAAGCAATCATATTGGCCTAAAGGCGCTAATGTTTTGTATACATTCACCCAAATGTACAATCACACTATGAAAGAATGAAAGAATCAATGTTTGTTGTATTAACTAGTGGCATGTCTAGACATAAGCTGAGAATCACGTCTTTGTAACTCTTGACCAGATTGAGTTACTGACCCATCGAGCTTGTCATATTCTGCCTTTCGATGAGAGAAATGTCTCCGCAATGAGAGTTTTTGTAGCAAGACAGCTTCAGGAGACTGAATTTTTTTGACAAATTCAGGAGACTGAATTGATTCTCCTTTCTGCTTCTCAAATCGCTTGCTATGACGAGAAGAACCATTCCTTTCTAATAGCTGCTTCTGCTTCCCTCTTGTGATAATGGATTGGCCTTCTTTCCCATGTACTTTCTCATATTCAAGTTTCAATTCTTCCAAACGCTTTGAAATCTAGGCATCAAAAGTTGACGAAGTATTAATAATACGGAGTACTGAATTAGAATGAGATATGAAAATTTTAGTCAAGGGAAACCTGGCTTGAGATGAAATGTAAGCATGCAAAAGTTACCTTCTATAACATTATAAAATTAGGGAAGAAACTGTACCAAAACCACAATTCATTCCAAAAATAATCTAGGACCCTGCCAAATTAGCCAAATCTTTCTTTAGGATCATTTTGACATTAATTTATTTTGGTGTTAGGTAAGGAAGTGAGAGGTTCCACCAAGTACAGTCACAGTGTACAGCCTGAGTATATTAGGGAAGTGTGTGAGGTTCCACAAGTACATCCTGTAGAATATGTAAATAAATATATTTTAAAAAGTTTCGGGTTAACAGCAAAAGCAAGTTTTTGGCTAAGTTACAACTTTGATTATAACAATTCACAACCACCCAGCAGGGGCGGACTTGGCCTTGTGCCTGGTGGGTCAAATGACTCACCAGGGCCCAAAAAAATTGCTAAGTCTTTTTTTTTTAAAAAAAAAAAAAAAAAAAAAAATTATTAGTTTGTTAATTTTAGTCTTGCCAATTTTAAGCTTGTTAAATGTTAGTTAGTATTGTAATCTTGTCAATTTTCTATTTGGATGATCTTTGTAAATAATTTTTTTTGGGAATTTTGGTAATTTTTTTTTTTTTACATATTTGGTTATCGATTGTGAGTTTGTGACTCACCGGTCAGAAATTCCTGGGTCCGCCACTGCCACCCAGTCTCAAAGATCGACAAAATCATCCATTGCTAGGTGATTTTCTTCCAAAATTACCATCCTATTCGTCAGAAAACCCCAAAACAGCCCTATTATTCTTGAATACTTGATCATGTAAGATGTCCATGAAAAGGCAGCCATCTAACACTTAAACCCATCATATATCTAAGATATTTTAACACACAAGAGAAACTGAGTTATATACTAGTAATAAAGATGGAAGTGCTAACCTTGATTGAGTAGGCCAAGGGCAACAATGTATCAGGGTCCATCACTTCTTCGGGAAAATTTTTCAACGCATGTATGAGTGACTCAAAAGGTAACTTCGTCTGATAATCAAATAAAACACTTCAATCATCAGCAGCCAAGTACAAGTAAAATCAGGGTTTAAACAAAAAGCAACAGAGAAATAGACACAAGAAATAAACCAACTCAGTCACAAACTCACTCACAACCCACGGGAAATCAGACTCTACATATAATTGATCCAAGAACAACACGAGAACACATGTAACACCCACACATACAAGTCCTCCACAACCTTTCTTACTATTAACCATTCAAGTAAGGCCACCACATCCGAGCACATATTGTTCCATGATGCCATGATGAGTACAATATAAATACAATTCTTCGTCTTTATCATCCCCAATAAAAGCTAAACTTATGTTATGGACTGGGTCAGCAGGGTCAACGGCTACAAAGCACCAACTCAGCCACCTATTTTGGTTTACTCCAGGCGCGCAAAACAGAGCAGCAAGGGTCAATTGTTGAAGGGAAACAATGAGCAACAAGACAAGACTAATTAAGGAAGAGTTAGGGAAAGGAAGCAGCTTCCTTTAATCATGAATGTATGAGTTTCCATTTTAGTTAATTAAGGTCACATGTAGGATCTAAGTCTTGAGTATATGTATTGGAATGTAGTAGGAGAGAGGGTATCCAGAAAATTGAGTGAAAAACACTAGAGAGACTAGTAGCCTAAAGTTACTCAGAGACTCATAACCTCAAGTTATGTTTATCCCCTGTAATTCAATCGTTTAGTAATCCAAGTACTCAAGCATTCGACCTTATTTACGAGCTATCATAATTGTTCATTATGTAGAAATTAATCTATAACAAACTTGGTATCAGAGCGGTGGTCCTATGGCCGCCGGTGACCGGAAAACCTCCCTCCGCACTTTAAAAAAAAAAAAAAAAAAAAATAAAATAGAAGCTGATCTCTCCCAGAGGATGGATGCCATGGAGGGGACGTTGGCGGATCTGAAGAATCAGATGGCGACCCTAGTGGAAACATTACAGACCCCAGATGACAACATCTCACGTGCTGTAGCGGCGGCTGTAAAGGCAGCCATGGAGGAGGAGCGCCTGAAGCTAACGGAGGAGCGAAAAAAGACCGAGGAGGTAATGAATGCCACTGTCGGAAAGATGGGGGATCGCCTTGACCGCTTCCGAGTCACGGTGGACACCCAAGCCGCGATTGACCGAGCGAAGATCAGTAAGTTGCAGGAGGAGTGGGAGAAAGCCAAGCAGAACCAAGGGCAAACCTTACCACAGCCCATCCCGGTGGTGGAAAAAATAGTCCGCGAATGGACCCGGGGCATAATCAATCTCCGAGTGGGGAGAGGCCGTTTGATGAGAACGAGTGGCAGCCGCATAATTCGGGAGATTGGAGATGGAGAGGGGCTGGAGACGGTGGAGGCGGCGGCGGTAATAACCGCTGGAAACACCGGAAACTCGAAATGCCCTTGTTCGACGTAACAGATCCGGACAATTGGACGGCTAGAGCTGAGATGTATTTTGAGTTCTGCAAGTTGACGGACAAGGAGAAGATGGAAGCTGCGGTGGTGGCGATGGATGGAAGCGCGTTGAAGTGGTTTCAGTGGGAGCAAAAACGGCGACCATTCTACGGGTGGTCGGACCTTAAGCATAGAGTGTTGAACGAATTCCGGCCGTCGCACATCGGCACACTCCACGAATAGTGGTTGGCCTTGTCACAGGGGAAGGGTACGGTGGCGGAGTACCGTCGTAAATTCATCGAGTTGGCAGCCCCGTTGGAAGACGTTCCGGAGAGCCTGATGTTAGGACAGTTCATCAATGGGCTGGGACGAGAGGTGAAAACGGAGCTGAGGTTGCTTAACCCCCTAAACTTGGAGAAAAATAAGGTACACATGGGGGAGAAGAACGTCAGTGGGTGGAGGAGTGGAATTAGTGTTGGGCCATCCAACTCTAATTTAAAGTCAGCCCAGTCCAACCCATCATTAAACAAGGGGAGCTTGATTCAAACTTACGGGGTCCCAAGTGGAAGTGGGCCAAGCCGAATCTGGCCCAAGGCACCCGAGTCTCAAGGATCAGTTAATGCGGGTCGGGCCAAACCGCCGGCAGGTCAGGGCTCCACCGGAGGAACTAGACGGTTGTCGGAGTTTGAATTAGCCGAGCGAAGGGCGAAAGGGCTATGCTTTCGGTGTGATGAACGATGGGGTGTGGGACACCGATGTAAGAGGAAGGAGCTTAGTGTGTTGATGGTGGCGGAGGGTGATGGGGAGTTGGAAACCGAAGAGGTGGAGCCGGAGGGTGAGGCACCAACGGAGGGCGTGGAGGGGATGTCCTTGTGCTCGGTGATAGGGATTCATAATCCGAAAACAATGAAATTGAAGGGGATAGTTGAGGGTCAAGAGGTGGTTGTGATGATCGACCCGGGGGCAACCCATAATTTTCTAGCCATTTCGGTGGTAGAACAAGCAAAAATTCCGGTGACCCGGGGTGGGGAATTCGTGGTGTCCTTAGGCAATAGGGATACCATTTGTGGTAGCGGGGTATGCAAAGGAGTCAAGTTGGAATTGAAGGGTGGAGTAGTCATCACCGAAGATTTTTTCCCGCTGGCTTTAGGGAGCGCTGAGGTGATCTTAGGAGTACAATGGCTTGAGAAACTTGGATCGGTGGTCACAAATTGGCGGTCCCACGTCATGAAGTTCACCCTTGAGGGAGTGCCGGTGACCCTTACCGGAGACCCTACACTAGAGAAGACCCAAATATCACTTAAGGCCATGGTGAGACTTCTAAAGAAAGAGAAACAGGGCCTTTGGATTCAGCTGGCCCAAGCTGAAACTCACGAAATGGGCCCAAAAGAAGCCAGTGGCCCACCTCCCTACTTGTTGGCTGTTTTAGACCAATTCAACAAGGTCTTTAATATGCCAAGTGGGCTTCCACCAGAGAGGGACCATGAACATGCCATTATCCTCGAGGAT